GCGAGAGGCTGCGGCACCCGCGGAGCACCCCGGGCACGCATGAGGATGGCTGGTGCGCTCGGGAAAAGGCAGCGCTCCGGGGTCTTTGTTATTGCTCCTTGGTGAGTGAGGCTGGGGGGGAGGAGGAGGCAAAAGTGAGCGGCAAGTAACTGCCTGGAGTTTGGGGGTGTTGTCTGGGATGAAGGAGCGGGGAACAAACCAGGAGCAACTCCCGGGAGGCTGGAAAGCCCATCCCTGTGTGCTGGACGTGGTGCCTCCCGTCCAGCTCCCATGGGAGCCTACGCTCTTTCCCAACTCCTCCCCTCCTGGGTCCCTTTGTGGGGCAGCTCCCAGGGGGACACCCAGACCCCCCAACACCTTCGAGAGCTGGAGAGCTCACAGGAGCCCACCCACCCACCAAACCGTAAGGAGCCGGATTCGCCGCGGCACGGCACGGCAGGTGTGGACAAGGCAGGACACCTCGCCTGGAGCACCGGCACCACCGCCTGCCGTGCAAGCCAACCCGCAAAGGGATGGCACCAAACAGGCATTGGGTTCTTCTACACATGGCCAGGGGGGCCCAGGCAGCAAGGACCACTGCAGACACCTGCTGCCATCACCACCACTGCTGGGACCCTCTATAAAACGCCCCGTTATCCTTCCCTGACCAGGGCACAACCCTCGTCCTTGCCCCGGTCCTGTCTCCGCTCATCTCTCCATTCCAGCAGGCTGCTCCTCGCCTTTCCTCCATCCCGGGCAGACTTGCAGCACTGCAAACATGCACAACGGCTGCAGCACATCTCAGAAACACAAGTGGAGCCTCTGTAGAGAAAGAGCTCGATTGAATCGGGTCCAAGGGACTCACGAAGAGGCTAATGCATCATAACCGGGTCATTCAGCACTGCAGCTTCAGGAGCACAGGTAGGATTTCTATCAGCACACTGGATGTTAGGACAAACACACAACCTTCAACAGGGGGGTGATTGCTGGGAAAACAGCTCAGCGTAGCCTGGTTTGCAGGTAAACTTTCTGCTGAGCTGGATCTACCATTGAAAAAACACTCCACTCCCAGGGAGGACAGTTTCGAGCCCAGCCTCAACAGTCAAACGACTTGCAGGGCTGTCCCTAACCCCACGGCTTTAGGGGCACCAACGCCACTGCCAAGGCATCAGGGCCGACCGGAGAAGCAGGCTGATCCAGGAGCATCATTCCCAGCAACCCGCCCAAGCCAGGGCTCACCCTCGGACCAGGAGCCCGTCCCACTCTGCTGCCAGCCCGCTTTTAGGTGCGCACGTGATGCCACAAACGCTGCTCTTCAGAGGTGACACAGAGCTCAGGCGTATTTTCCTCTCTTTTCCATCGTGAAAAGATGAACGTCAAACAAGGAGGAGGCTGTCACTTGTCCCCTATCGTCCCCAGGGGCAGGCAGCTCCCGCACACCCAAGAGCGCCGCTGGTCCAGCAGCATCTCTACAAGACAGGCTGGCGCACCAGCCTCCCTTGAATAACTTTTTTTTTTTTTTTTTTTTTAGAAAAAGGGGAGAGTTGAACACTGACCACATTTTACATCTCGTGACAAGCAACTTCTCAACAAAAGGCAGGATGACATAAAAAGACGACTTAAAAGAGTGAACATTGTAATTTCAAAGACACACAAACCAAAACAGAAACACAAACACAGCTCTTTTTCCCCCAGAGCACTCTCACTTTCAAGCTCAATAGCCTTGAAAATTGGAGCAATCAAACTGTTAAATGCATCGATCTGTTAAATCAACTCCTACTGTACTCAGATAAATTTAGCCTTTAATCCCCTCGCTCTCACTCCCAGCACCACAGATCCCAGGGCTTTCCCCAGCCAGGTCAACCAGCCTCTGCCTTCCCACGACACCACGGACTGGTCCCTAAGCAAGCAGAGACGGAGATCACCAGGAGCAATTGTATTTAGAGGCAGGTCCAGCTTCCCCATCTTCCCTCAGCCCACAGCTATTCATCCCATCCGAGTCTTTAAGCCAGAGACGTATACAAAGAGCAACCCGGACACTGATTTTTGCCAAGAGCCATGGTCACAGAACCAGGATCCCTACTTTTTCGCTGAAAAGCAGCCTGAGCCTTTCCAAGCGCAGGCCATTAATTGCATCTACACTTGCCAACAGCATCCTCCTGCTCCTCTTTTCACCCTCTTCAGGCCAACGGAATCGCTGCCACAGCAAGCCAAGGTTTCCCACGAGCCTTGTTCCTGTGGCCCACGAGCGAGCTGTGTCCCGCGCTGGGACCAACAGATTTCATCAGGGTCTTGTCGAGGGGATTAGAATCCGGCTGAGCTGGGTTACAACCCTAAAACCCCACTGGCGGGACCTCGGGCACACCACGCGCTGTCACCTGCCCTCGTTTCCGTCTCACCCTTTCTTAGGCTTTAGCATCTTCATCAGTCAAGGCAACATCTCATTTTAGAGGCTGCTTAGTACCTGGACACGTCCCTCCCTCAAGAATTGCTGGAAAAGCTGAAGGTGGTCTGGAAACAGAAAATAAGGATGGACAACAGAAAGGAGGGAGGGAGCAGCCAGAACTGCCTGAAGAGAGGAACTCACAGGCCATTTCTCAGCAGAGGAGGAGTTAAAAAACAACAGCAGCTGAATTACAGAATACAAACAATTAAAAGGAAGAAAAGTTTAAAGCCAAATCTCTGATTTAAATCTCATTGAAGACAACAGCAAAGTCCTTGCTTCAAAAGAAGTGATGGCACAGTCTTTATACTGCGCATCTTTTTCCTCTCCTGACTCTTCGGCGCCAGATCAAAAGGACGGGGAAAGGTGCTGCTGCCTGGCTCTGACCAGCCCACTGTGCCGAGGGGCCTCGGTGAACCGCCCAAACAGGGAACCCCTCTTTTCAGACGTGGAGTCTAAGGGGAGGTAACCGGGCCTGAAAAGCCTTGCTTACAGACAAACACAGGTTTTCCTCAACATTGATTTATTTTTAAATATACTACACAAGAGAGACTGGAATAAAAAATAAATCAAAAAAAAAAAGAAAAGTAGAGAAAGAGAGAAGGAAGAATTCAAAGTCGTGTACAGAAACAATCTGTACTGGACCAAATGAAAGGGGAAACAACCCCCTTAAGTATCACAGAGATGAAGGACAGAGCTATTTACACACCGTAAAAAAGACAAGTCTACAAAAGTGTGTAATAACGAGATACAAATGTATAATATAGTGGCACAATATGTTATCAAAGTAAAAACAGTACCTCCAGGAAAGAGACAGTCCAAGGGTTGGGTGGTTGGGTTTGGTTTTTTTTTTCCTTACATTTTTAAAGGCAGCCTGTGGCAGAAGTGTGTATTTCCTTTTGAACATTTGTCATGTGTTAAGTCATGGCTGTGAGGGCGAGAAGTGGTGTGAACACACACAAGTGAACTACTAGAAATCATATACAAAACAAACAGTTCCAAAGAGAACAGAATAAAATACAATTGAAGGCAATTAGTGTTTAAGATACACAAGAGGGGTCACGAGAGTTACAGGGGAACAGGACATGGAAAATGCTTTTTTCTCTTGTTTGGAACTGTTAAGAGGAGTTAAATTGCACTGTTAATAGCCCTAAACCTTGTTCTTTCACTATCGTCACAAGTCACAGTTAGTCCCCAGTCACGTTGCGTTAGTCGGGAAGGTCACAGGACCTTGGAAAGGAAGCCCAGGAGTCCTGCTGTCAGCGTTTTGTGGCAGTTTCCTCGGGAGATGCACCCAAGAGAAGTGTCTGCAGTCTTCACAGACCCTTGTCTGATGCTGGGTGGAACCACAGCAGCACGAAGGCAGCGATGGTTTTAACCCCGAAGCACTGGCACCCAGCCTCTTCGCGGGGAGTTCGCATTGGCACGGACAGGGAGGCACCACAGCCCCTCAAAGCACAGGTCTCTACGGGAGGGCAGGAGCCAGGTCCCATCTCCACTCAGAGAACAAAAAGCTGGAAATTCAACTAGAGGAACAGCAGTTCTCGCCCATCCGTGATGGGCAAGCTCCGCGGAAACAGCTGCTGGAGGCACAGCAGCATCTCTGAACTCATCCCAAGGTACCTCCCCCTGCTGCAAGCCCCCCGTCTTTCAGGGAGCGATGCCTTGCTCAGCACCAGCCCACTGCTCCCCGACCTCTGCAGCCCTCCACCCCCAAGGCCGGCCCGGTTAGTGTCAGATATCACGAGAGCGTGACAGCCCACCCTTCTTCAGACCTTCTCCAGCCCTTTTTCGCTACCCAAGGGAGATCTGCAAGCAGGCTCCCGTGCCACGACGTTAGCGGGCGCTGTCTGCAACACTCTGAACCCAAGCGATTCACTGGGGCTCAACGACATTAAGAAATTACTGAAAACACAGAAACGAAGGGCAGCAGGTGGAATCGTAGGAAGAATTTGGGCAAACATCACTTGTAGCACTCTGTCATTAAAAAACCCCAAAACCTTACATGAACAATTTTCCCCCCTTCCCTCCCAAGTGCCAAAGCTGTCGCATTAATGTCGGGTCAATGTCAGATTCCGGCCCGGGACATGTGCTGCAACTCCCCCAAGAAACGCAGTGGGTATATTGCTATGCAAACACTCATCCTTGCGTACAGTGGGACAGAGGGGAGGGGACGAAAATGCAGTAGAAAGTCCTCCTGAGGAGGATGGCATCTCAGTGTCCATCAGTCTGGCTTCAGTCTTAACGGTCTGTCCAGAGCAATTAAAATATTAATAAAAAGGCATGGTGTGACATCAGCATTTAGACTTGTAGTCCACAAGGCAAGAACTCCACAGATAAGACGATTACGAGTATATGAAACACAGGGAATCTGAGCTAAGAGGGTGGAAAGCGCCTCTTGAACACAGCCCTGCCCTTTGGAGCTGGGGCATCCATTCATAGCACGTGTCTTTTGCACAGCCCTAATCGGAATGCCCCGGTCCTTTGTCAGTCCACACACGTTACTGTCTCCACAGTTGGCTTTGGCCCATTGGGATGTATTTATTTAGTTATTTCTTTATTTTTAACCTGGCTTCTGCTACCTCTGAACAATGTCGCTGATTTCTTTCACCGAACTGAGAAGTTTGCTAAAGTCCTGGGTGGCTGCAGGACCGCTGCCAGCTGTGGCTGGGCAGATCTGAAGCTCCCGTAGGTTATTCTCCAGCTTATTGATGGCCTCCCGAAAGGCAAATTTGTTCCTCATCTGCTGAATAGAGTCCACGTAGCTCACGCAGAAGGTGTAGAGGTTCTTGCCAGCCTCCAAGACAGCGCTGTGGCTTGCCATTTGTTCAGAGTTCTTGCTGATGGCGATCCGTAGAGCCTCAGTGCTCTCCAACACCACCCCTTTAGTGATGGTGCCGCTGGCAATCCTCTCTGGGGGCTGCCGGGTCTTCCGCAGCGAGACCCTGGTGGATATGAGAGGGATGAAGGCTGTAGACGACGGCTGGTCCCCGCCTGGGGCGGAGGGTACGGATGAGGAAGAGGCAGCTGGGGTTGCTGTGCTCAGCAGCAGCTTTGTAGAGGACTGTGGCTTTGGTACAGAGGGGATCCCCAGCTTTTTCACACCTTCCCCTGACTGGTTTGGCTTGACAGCATCACTGCCTGCAGCCTCTCCAACCTGAGTCAACTGTTTGGATTTCGGCCCAGACACCACATCTGCTGCTGCTTCGTGGCTGGGACTGTGAGAAACCTTCCCAGGCTTGCCGACGGCGGAGGAAGAGAGGGGAAGCGGAGGGGCCGGTTTCAGCTTCGATAACTTCCCTTTGTCCTTCCCGGCCGACTCCGACGTCTGCTTGAGCCTCCTCAGTCGCGGCTCCTCAGAGGAAGCCTTGCTGGCACCCACGAAGCCGGCAGGGTTGGGTTTGGCAGCAGAACCTTGGTCCATCGTCACAGTGGTACCTAAGGCACTGGATTTGACTCCGTCATCCTTGTGGAGCACGCTGGAGGAAGGAGGGGCAGCGGGTTGCCTACGGCCAAGTTTTGGCGTCAGAGTGGGAGGGCTGGAGCCGGGGCTCGACTCTGCATCTTTGAACACATCATCAGCGGTCTCTTCATTTTTCTTAAGCAGCCGTGGAGGAGGGGTCACTGTTCCCCTGACCGCCATGTCAGTCTTGGCCTCGTTTGCCCGCTTCCGAGGCAGTGCTGGCTTTTCGCTTTTGTGCCCCCCGAAAGTGGAGGAATCAAACTGGCGGCCCGTGGACTGCAAATCCCGAGGCAGAGTCACAGATTTCCATTCCGTGTCCTTTGCTCCATGGGGCACACAGGAGGCTGAGCAGGACCTTAAGAAACGCTTGCTGGAGTTGGAACTACTCTCCTCTTCACAAGCCACCCCTCGACTGCTGCTCATCGTGCTGGACTTCTTCCGTAAATGGGGAGATAAAAACCCAGAGTTCCCAGCGACAACCCCGTTGGTGACACCAGCCCCGTTGCCTGGGCTCTGAAACTTGGAGGGGGGGTCAGCCGCCTCTGCGGGGGGTGCAATGAAAGCGCCGTTGCCGGCCTCCCTGCACTCCTCCTCCCCACCCGCCCTGCGGTCCGCGTGGCCGTCCATCTCTCTGAAGGAACTGCTCCGTTTTGGAGGGGTAGGGGCAGTCTTCTTCTTCTTCTTGATAAGGGCACTGAAGAGGTTGTGCTTTTTGTCCTTCGGAAGGAGCCTCTCGTCTTCATTCAAACTGCTCTCCAGGGCCACCCTCTCCTTCCGTGGGAGCAAGGGAGAAATAGCAGGTTCATGATCCAGAGGGTCTGCAAGGGAAAGAAAAGAGTTTACTGAGCGTTGCTTCAACAGCCAGAATAATCAGTTCTCTTCCAGGATCAAACCACTGTAGCACCTCCAAAAGGTGCAGGTTCTGCAAAGAGAGATGACTTCAGACCAGAAGTAAAGCAAGTAAGTGCAGCCACACTAAAGCCTGGACTGATGGTGGTCCCTAATCCTACATACATTCATTTCTGAAGTGGCCTCTGCAGGACTCAGCTGCCAAACTACTTTCCCTGTAGGCTTCCGATTTAAACAGCGACATACAAACACAAAATGTTTATGTTCAGATTCCCACCCTCACATCTGGAGACCTGTCTAAACTTCACACTGTGAGGAAGACAAATATTACGAGGCCTTTGCTTTAGTCCCTGTGCTGTTGCTGCCTTTTGAATAGGTGACCCTTTGAATTAGTAAGACATTTCTGTGACCCACCTCCCAGTCTCCTTGTTCATTTAGGTTCTTACTCCTAACCCCCTTTCCTGATGTCACCCTTTGTTTTTCACCAGCAGAAATCAAGATGCCCTTTGACAGCTGAACACTTCAGGTCACACCACCGTGAAGATGACCAGCTTTGTACAATAACCCAGGAAAGTGGTCGTTAACAGCCCCCTTCAGCAGCATTGCTCCAGAAGGAAATGATGGGGTGACTCTTTCTCTACTTACAAGAGGTATTTAAAAACGAATAGTGGTTTATAATAAATTTATACAGAGTCCTGAAGGTCTCTGTATTTGACTGACAGGGGGTCTCATTCCCAGGCCAGGCACTCGGATGGCATTCTAATTCAAAGGAGGAATGCCTTCAGGGCAGCATATACATTTACAGCTTGACTAGGCAGTAAGAAGGGAGATGAAGCAGAGTCACAGGGGAAAAGAAGGATGCTTTTTAGTCACACAGTGGTGATCAACATGCTATGGGTAGGATTTTGGTTGAGGAAGGGATTTTGGTTGCGGGGAGAGAATTTGAAGAAAAATAATGGTGTCCGTTGAGAAGACAGCACGCTTCCACAGGAGCACGTGCAGTTAAACCATTCCCTCACAACAAGTTACGGGGACACTGAGAACCAGAAGAGCTCTCGCAGCACTTTGGGAGGCCACGGCCTTACCGTGTCTAGACACGGTGGAGCTGCAGAGATCGAGACAAAACTAGCAGCTTGCACCAAGGATCAGCTTCCAGCCGCTGGACTTGCTATGGAAACACTGACAATTAAAGGGGAAACTGCAATAATACTTTAATGTAAAATATTTTCTTTCACAATGAAGAGTGAAATGATTCCCAGCCTAATGCTAAAATCACGTTATTCCTGATGCACTCGAATCTCTCAAAGCCCTTAAGTATTTAAATGAAGTTATTTTACTTCAAAGCTTGTAAGACTAGGCAATTATATTTCCTACATATGGTAAAAAAAAATCTTCCTTTCTGAGTCACTGGTCCTTCCTTTTCCCAATATTTTACATCCCCTTTTTGCCTAGATGTACATCTGCTACTGAAACATGTACTACTAGGTGAATTCGACGTTACACAAAAAAGGTCAGTCACGTGAATGGTCAGAGAAGGCAGCCTCAACAGGAGCTGGAAAAAACCCCACTGTATTTTGTTTTACCTTCTTATTTTTCAAATGAGCTAGATACAGACCTACTGTACACATTCAGCATTTTACCACTGCTTTTATTACCTCAGAATGGAAGGTAAGTTCCTGAAGAAACATTTAATTTCATGAAAGATTTTGTAAATACCTCTTTGTCCCTTGCTGAAATTATATTTGGTACCTGCCAAAAGTAATACTCTTCAGTGCTCCAAGCACAAATCTGGTAGGATGCAACAGTGAAGAAACCTCCCTTATGGGGCTTGCTAAACCTGAGCAATCGTCCTGCTTTAAATTATGCAGTGTGGTAGTGTAAAGTGGCTTGAACACAGCAGATTACCCAGCACTCAGATGCAGTGGGAGATCCCAATGATAGCTCCTACTAGGGAATGGGAAGAGGATATGATCAGAGAGCTCCGTGCTCAGGCTCTGGTCTGTAGGGAGCTGCAGGCAACAGCCATTAAGTTAAAAGAACTCCTAGGGCCTCTCTAAGCAACGGCAGGTATAATGCCAATCCCTCAGCCAGTTAAGGATTCACACTCCCAGCTGCTGTGTGTATCTGGTCCCAAGATTAACAACCTACCTTTGCAAAAATAATAAAAGGAGTTCTGAACCCAGGAAAGCAAACTCAGCAGCCTGTCACCCAGAAACGCAGCACTGGTACAGAAAGATGGCACCTGTTATTAGACACAGCTTTTCCTAGGTGAAGACCTGGAGCTGGACGTGCATTTTGTATTTCCTGAAGGAATAATGACTTTAATTAAAACCTACCACATTCCCCCTGGCCTCGAGCATGTGCAGTCTCCAAGCCCTCATTGGCATCTTTGCTTTCAGCAGCTCTCCTTGATGTTCGTGTTTTGGTTGGTAACTCCGGGGCCTGGAGGAAATTGCTCACTACACTCCTCATGCCCTTCTTTCCCAATTCCTTCTCCACCTCTGCAATGCACAGAAGAAAGACAATCACTACAATCAACACAAGATAAAAAAACCCACTATTGCACTGTTCAGAGTTAACAGCACAAAAGAAAAGCAAACGACACAAAGTAGAGGTTCCTTGAGGTTGTTCAGCTATTTGGCCCTTTAAAATCGGACACATGCCCAGAGAAAAACCCTGCAAGTAAACGTGCTTCTGCTTTCTACGCCATTCATAGCAGGCAGTACAACCCAGGACCGAGTTTCACTGCAAAGCAGCCTGTGAACAACGTGCAGAGTTAACGATGCAGTTGGCCCTTTTCCCATCCCTGGAACTGCTGGTCCAAGAGGGACCCAGACCTACCATCTGATATGCTGGATTCCTGAAACATCGTTTCAAAGGCCTGATGGATCTCTGCAAAGGAGGGTCTATCGGAAGGGCTCCACTGCCAGCCTGAAAAAAAATGACACCACTCAAAACTTCCTGCCAGCATCAGACATTCAGCACACCGCGCCAGGAAGAGCGAGCTATTGCAGTCCCTTTTTTGTAAAATGGGCGAGATAAAATAACGGCATGGAAACCTCCTTTGAAGGGTGCTTTGAAGGAATCTGCAACCAGCACTGAGCCAAAGTAATGCTGGAAAAAACCCCAAATGTATCACACTAAGTCACGTACGAAAAGGCCACAGTGGAAGACGAACAGTGGGTCCCTTAAGAAGCCTAATGATGCTCCTGCTTCATCCTTAAAGCACAAGCTTTTCTTTAAATTGTCAGGAAAAAGGAGACAAAGAAAACATTGAGCTGAACAACAAATCTCTCCCAAAGGCTTCTGTGCTCCCAGTAGAGAAGAACGGCGGGTTTCAGAGCATGTTCATCCTCTGGGGAAAGCTGTTTTAACCAAACACTTCTACACAACATTGCACCTTCACTGGAACTGGCAGGCAGTTTCTCACGTCTTACTGCATGTGGCCTGATCCCGCACCTCTGCAGAGCTAAAAAGCAGGATTTGCAGGGCTGAGGAACACTTACATGCTCTCATGAGCTCATAGACTTTCTCAGGACAGCCTTCAGGGCGCTCCATACGGTAGTCTTTCTCCAACAGCTCATAGACTTGAGACAGGTCAATCCCAGGGTAAGGGGACATACCATAGGTTGCAATTTCCCACAGCAGAACACCAAAGGCTGCAGTGGAGAAAGAAAGGAAGGAAAAAAGGCAAAAAAAAAAAAAGAAAAAAAAAATCAATAAGCTTTGTTTTCATCTTAAATTTGGGAGGATGTTTAGTGGGAGTAGTCACTAAACAATGCCGCACACCTAAACCAGCTCTGGGTGGCTCAGATCCCATGCTCAGCAGTAGCTTAAATGTTAAAGAAGCATAACAAGCCTCTTCGCCGGCACAGACATGTCTCCTGCGATATGACAGGGTAGAATTAGACTAATTTTCAATGTATCAGTTGTCTCAAACCTGAATGCCTTGAGATCCTTCAAGTTCTATTAAAGGCACAATTAAGAGACTTCACAGTGGATTAGCTGAAACCATTTCACTGCTGCACTGCAGTCTCTCCCTCAATTTGACAGTTTCTCTCATCTGCAACCTCTCCCTAGAGGACTCGCACATTTTAATAGCTCAGTGTTTTGGGGGTACCCTTGTTTAGCTGTAGCATGGTTTAGAGGGCGAAACCTGGGAAGCCGTGGTGAGAGGAAAGTTTTAGCAGTCACGACCAACAAGACAAGGTGCGGGTGAGACATTTTGGTCACAGGGAAAGCTGAACAGGAAAAGGGAGAGCACAGAAGGGTCTTGAAACAGGCGAGGCATTCAAGTCCCAGAAGCCAGTGGGGATGCAGGTCAGCACCAGGGTCAGGCAGCAAACCCAGGAGTCGGGCACGCCGAATAGACCCAACACCAGTTCAACAACGTGCATGTAATTAGTTCAGTCACCCTATTCTGTTCTTAACCTGAAGAGAAAGCGATTACAATTCTGCATAAGTAAGGAAATCACATCACATTACATGGTAACACCACCAAGGGCAATTTACATTAGACATTTCTGTGCACAATTTTCTTTGATTGCTGTCTTGAGCCAGTGAGGTGAAAGCGTCTAAACTCTGGCGTGCCCGGCAGCAGCCCTGGCCTCTGGGGACGGCTGGCTTGCTCTAATCAGCTCCCAAAGTCCACTGCCCCGAATCCCACTATGCAAGGTTATGCTAAGCCTAATTAAAGACACCCAATACCCCTTTTGGATCTTTCTTCCCCAAGTACTCTACTATTTCAACACAACAGGGACCCTGCAGCCACCACAGCGATACAGCAGCATCCTTGAGACCGCGGCAGATACCCAGCAGCGGCAAACACCACCACATGCAAGTCCAGAGCAGAAGAAATGCCTTGATCAGCTCCCTGTAAGGCTGTTTTGGGTTTTCCTCCCCCGTCTATAAAACATTTTGCATCAGCCATCTACCTAAAAGTTTCTTCACAATAAAGCCTTTCTTCGCACAGCCTCCACAAAACTCCAGAAAAATTCATCACTGCTTCACTACTGTCTGGTGCTTCATATATAGAAGACGCTCAGGATAACATTTTCCAAGTGCCTTTGGGACCACATCCCACAAACTTCTATCTCACGTCATTGAGCACTTTTGAGAATTTGACCAACAGCTATGGCAGAGATATAAAACCCAAAGAAAGGCTGATAAAAAGTTCAATGAGATTTTCTGTGGTCAGATTTAAGAGAATGTAGCTCCATTTAGCTAAGCCTATTCTTATCACCAGCACCTCAGGGCTCTTCAATAACCATTTGTCATCAAATTTTCCCTCCGTTTCTCCTCATCTCATTCCAAAGATTATTCTTTTAAAATGCAGAAAGATGAGCTCGGAGCTATCACTAGACAGATACACACATAATTTATTTTTTTTTTTTTAAATATAAAATGAACCAGATTCTCACTTTCCTCCTTGAAGTAGTTAGAAAGTTCCTGGCTATATAACAATATATCGCTTCATAGTCCTGTGCCAAAACTCTATCAAGCAGTGGTACCGTGCCCTCCAGCCTCATTTCACACATTTCTATAAACACTACGGTATCCTTTATTTTCATACAAAGTCAGGTCGGCATCCTCAGTGCTCCACTCAAAGACTGACTTAGCAGAGATTAGCTCCTGCACTCTGACAAGCTCACAGAACAATATGGCTCAAACCAGGGAATGTGCTCCCTCCTGAAATGTTTCACAATGTCCTCATTTCACAGCCCTGGAAAAGGCAGCTGTAGAAGGCTATAATCTGCATTAATTCATACATGCAAATTCTTACCCCAGACGTCAGATTTAATGGAGAACTTGTTGTAGGCCAGGCTTTCTGGTGCAGTCCACTTGATGGGGAATTTTGCTCCGGCATGGGCAGTGTACGTGTCCCCTGTCATTAGCCTGCTCAGGCCAAAGTCTGCCACCTTCACCAAGTGGTTCTCCCCTACAAGGCAGTTTCTGGCAGCAAGGTCCCTAAAAACAAGAACAAAAATAGGCAATGAGTAGTCTTTACCTTCTCACTTTTAGTGATAGCAAGGAAACCTGCTGTTCCCGAAGAAACCTGGGCCTGCGTGTGATTATTTTGATCAGAGTATTACACAGAAATTATGTAGTTACACGCATACATTTAAGAGGGAAAGTTATTTTCCATTCTGGCTTTGTAAGACTGTCATCCAAACTTTTTTTTTTTTTTTTTTTTTAATTTGAAGCTTCAAGAAGCCCCCTCACTTTCAATAAAAGCTGCCACCCTCAGGATAAAAATAATTTAAAGAAATGTCAGTGCTCAAGTTATCAATAGCTGAGGCTGAGCACTAAATAAATGAAGTCTCAATGCCCCACTTCTTGCCCACCTCTCTAGCACTTCAGTCACCCCAGTCACTCTCCAGAACTCCTTCTCCAGTCCTTGCTCAAGCACCAGGTTTAGCTCCCTGCTATGTTCTTCTTCCCCCCAAGCGTACCACGTTTTACAACACAATTTTTTCATACCATGTTTTGGCCTTTTCTAAACCTGTTGTAGCTTTTGCTATCGGTACTTACATTTTTAAAGGACTGGGCAACAGGTAAATTAAGTTTTTCCTTCACATTTTTTCACCTGCCTCCACCCTGGCAGGTAAGAGATGTGGATGTTGCATTTGCCACTTGCCTGCCTCATATGTGCTGTTACCAACCTCGGAAATGCTTTATGAGTATAAAAATGTACAGCACAGAAGTACATTTCTCCTAATATTATGTTTTGTTAAAAACACTTTTCCAGATTATGTCACATTGAAGTAAAAATTGATTCTACCAGAAAGCTCGAGTGAGATCTTTAGATACGAGGCAGACACTGCTGTTTCTTTTGCTTGTTCTGCTCAATCAGAATAAATTAAAAAAAAAAAAGTACATCTTACTAGATGCCCATTAAATTCTCACAGTGTTTTTGAATATACCTTCTTATCAATGCTGATTACTACAATGCGTGTCTAAATAAAAGCTCCTCTTCATAATCAAATTCCTCCTCCTTCCCGATTCATTAAATGAGGTCACAGCCCAGCATTTGAATCCATGGATGTGAATTGTGACAACACTCTTAAAATAATTGGGTAGGTGGGTATGGGGGTGGCTGATAAGGAAAAACGCCGCTATTTATTTTAGATAAATGGGTCATCAGAAATAAGAGGAAATGAAATGAACGGGAGAGCAAATGGGATTCACACAAAGCGGTTTTTAAAGTTCACTTCCTACAGGCTGAAGGGATGAAATACTTTCAACAGAGCAAATCAAAGGCTGGAAATTTTAATTTGCAGCACCACCGTTCACTTTACCGACTGACAGAAGCACTTAAACAGGCCTTTCAGGCAGCAAGGGCAATGCATGACTTAGAGGAGCACCTAGAACGTTACACACGATCTTCATATTTGTCTCTGTGAAAAAACATGTGCTAATTTCATATTCCAGTTAATTGGGCAGGAAAGGTCACGCTATGGCACAGAGAGTATCTTGTCTAAAGCCCAGCGACTCTCAAACCTTCGCGCAGGATGTGTCATTATATTGCTAGGAGGCCATTTCTACAGATGAAGAATGCAAAGCTCTAGCCATAATTGCAGCACACTTAAAGGTCAGAGTCTCTGAGACTGCAGAGATGCTTATTAAAGTGCACACACAATCTGGACAATAGTGGGAAACAATCCCCACAGAGGACAGGAAAAAAAAAAAAAAAAGAGTGAAACAAACAAGGAGGAACACGGGATAAGAAGGCACCAAGAGGGCGGCTCTGCTGTGAGCACCTGCACGCAACCAGCAACGCCACCTGCAGCAGCTTCTACCGGCTGTTAGAATCAGGGAAGAGCAGTAGCTTCTCTAGTCCCTTAGGAGCCCGTTACTTTGGGAAGTGTTTACATTGAAGGCCCTCGCCCAAAATATAAAAGTACTGATATGTCTTTCACTTGCACCTGCTTCAAAGGTAAGAGAAAAACAGAGAGAAAACCAGTTAGGAGACCACCCTATAGACAGGCTAACGTACCGTACCAGAATACAATGCACCAGTGTGTTAAATATAGGACATCGACAGCATCTAAGTCACTGCCGTGACGATCTGAAAAGCAGGAAAATAAATCAAGGCATGTTTTGTACTCGAGACTCAGGGGTGCTCACTGTCCTTCCTACCTGTGAATAAAGTTTTTCTTCTCCAGGTACTCCATGGCTGAGGAGATCTGAGTTGCCATGTACAGTAGCACCACGGCATTCACCTCCTGCCGGTTACACTCACGCAGATAATCCAACAGGTTCCCATACGTCATGAACTCCGTAATGATGTAGAAAGGAGGTTCCCGTGTGCACACCCCTAGGGACCAACACACAGTTTACAATGAATGTTTGAGAATATTGGTGAATCTTCAGGTTTTGTCCTCTAGGGCAATCTATGTCTCTAGACGGTAGAAACATAGGGCTCACAGAAAGAACGAGTTCTGCTTGGAATTGGTTAATAGTGGGTTTTAATTTCCTGCTTCAAACTCTGGCAACTTGAACATTAGGGAGAAGAGATCATTAAAAATCATGTATTAGTGGTACAAATTGTGAATTTCGCCAGACAATAAGTGTCTGTATTTAAAGCCTTGGTACGGTAAGCAGCTTATCTGCTCCTTAACATCCGTATCACTGCACAAGGGTTTAGTTCAAATCCCTCTGCTTGGTATTTATCACTTACCTAATAATTGCACCAAGTTCGGATGCTTGATCTCCTTCATTACTGCGGCTTCTTTCAAGAACTCTTCCACCTCCATGGTATCCTCCTGCAGAACAATGGTAAAGCTTTGGCAAGGACAGCGTGCACAAAGGAGGAACCAATTTTTGTATGAGGACTGCAAACTAACAACACGAGCCACAGTTCTTTCAAAGTAATTTTTCCCTGTAGCCACATCACAATGCCAAGGAGCTATGAACGTTGGGGTTTTTTGTAGAATTTTTAAAACGTATATTTTTATCATTCTTATTCTAACAGAGCTTTTTGGGGCAAGAAAATCCATATCTCTTTTGTGAAGGGCCTCTCACAGGAGTTGAAAAGGAAAAACGTGCTTGTTCCTAACAGGAACAAAGATAACATGAAATCAAAAGTACAGAAAGGAAAAGAAACAACAATGAACATAAAAGGAAGGACACACCACAATCAAATGCTCGAGAAGCTACTAAAACGCGGGCCCCCAGTTTCACTGGGTAGAGCGAGAAATCCCCCCTTTCAGACAGGGAAGCATGACTGACGGCTGCCACTCCATCACTGAAAGCCCGAGGTTTCACAGATTTCATTTCTGGCATTTAGAGCCTGACCCATGACGTAATCGTTCTGGGCAGACGTGTCACTGCCTATTTGTTGAATGTCATAAAGTTGCTTGGCACAACACAAACCCGAAGAAGATACAATCTTGCTCAAAAGACATTTTCTGAAGCAAATATGCCCCAAATGGCCAGAAGGTCATTTCAAAGTGGTGCAAAAAATACAGATCTATTCCTAAAGCAATGTTTCTTTCTATATCCATATTTTTTTTCATTGATGGATTAATGTTGACAGGCTACATGGACGAAGTGTTTTAAGGAAGGATTGGAAAGGATTTACTGCTGCTGGTGAGAACGATAACAGTGGGCTGCCGCTGTAAGATCCAGCTCTCTGCTTTGCAGTTAGCAATGAGAACATTTTTCCAACAGTTTCATTCAATCATTTACTACTCGTTGCCAATTAGCTTGATTGGCAGCTGTGATTTGCTGAACACACTCTGTCAAAACTAATAGCCCAAAGGTCCTTGTGGGCAGAACCTTAAACCGTTTTCTTTGGCGAAAGAAACTGGGTTAATAACCCAGGTGGCAAAATTACCCTAAATACGCATTTATCTTATGCATGCGACACAAACTGAAAGGTGGCTCCTTCACACAGTTGTTCCACTGTTTTAAACCTCTTACCTCTCAGTGACCAAATTAATAGGAAGGACACATACAGAGAACTACTGTAACAACGATCTCTCTGAAAACCTGATCTCAGGCAAAGAATGAAGCTTAACCAGCTTCCATCTTCCACCGTACCAAACCACGGAAGAAATAAAAGAGTTCTGGCTATACAATATTTCCCTAGCAGAGCACAGGACCACGCCATGGCATTAAGGGACACTAGGGTTGCACATTGACTACCTTAAAACACAGGTTTCTCTGCTGGGGGGAAAAAATAATTTTAAAAAAAAAAAATTAAAATAAAAAAAATAACAATAAAAAAAAGAAGGGGCAGTCCTAACGGATGCAGCCTCGAGGTGTGCAGTAAGAAATGTGCCGAGATGACCAGCTCACAACAGTTCAGCCATTAAACGGCCCTCGCAGGGAACGAGCTCCTTCCACGGTCACAGCAGGCTGCATTCGGTCCCACTCTATGCAGGTCCCACAGCTCCGCTCCCAGTCACTGCAGCCTCCGCCTACCTCATGCCCCTTTTCCATCAACATCAGGTGTAAAAACACAAATTCAGAGAGTGTCGTGTTATGGTAACAGACCCTTATAAATGCTGATCTGTCCTGTGCAACTCACTGAGCTCCCAATGCTGCATTTTAACGGGAAACAGATATCCAAGCACCAAAACATTGTCTAGCACTTCCCAGTTGCATTCAACTGTGCCGCTTCGATTGCCTTCTTGCATGATCTAGTGTTTTGTACCAGCTATGAGCCTCGTGTAGACACTTGATAGAAAACTGAACAACAAATGGGTGTTCATAAGCATGGCTATTCAAAAAGAAGCTGTAACTGTATTTTTTTTTCCTCTGTTAGTTTTCCCTCCCCTTTATCTCATAAAGATATCTGCAGTAGATGGGGAAGAAACAAGAAGTCATATAAAGTTTGGAAAAATATTCTCTCAGAGGAAAATAAAGTGAGTCATTTGAACATTTGTGCAGAAGCTGCAGAGGGCTTGTTTTTCCCTGTAGAACTGGGATATAAATGTGATTTTAAAATGTTTCCCAAAACTTTGAAGAAAGCTATAATCCCACCTGTCAGGCAGTAGACTGATGGATTTAAGAAAGGTGGATTATAAATTTGCTTTTAAGGATGATTTTAGCGTGCGTAATTGCAGGTTGAAGTGTTTCTCAACTCTCCTCTTGGTTATTCTTACATTCCCCAGTGGAACATGCTGCTCCATACTACATTATGAACCACTTTTTAGTCATGTTTCATTAAATATTTATTCGATATATTTGAAACAGTCATGGTCTGTGTTAAGTTTTCTCCTTATGCACAAACAGATTTTATGGGATAACACGCAATTTGCCTTTGCTAATGGGTTTGGAGAGAAGAAGGCAACAACTGCAGTTGGCAGCAAAATGAGAAATCTGAAGATGTCGGGTATCCTCACGCTGCAACCAGAAGCAGGAAAGGAGATGTTAGAGCAAACAATGTTCCAGGAACGAACTGGTCTCTCCTGCTCGCTACAAACAGGCATTTTTTGTTCAACCTGGTCACATCCCAGCTCCACCTGCACTGCAATGCTCCCGAGTGCGCCCCGCAGCCCCCAGCGCGCCGGATCCGAGCAGGGACAACACTAGGTGTCACTCGCTCCCTGTGCAAGCAGGCACTTGGACTCTCCTACGCTGGGGAGCTGCAACAGGAATCTCCAGAGCAGAAAAAAGGCCAAAATGAAAATACTTTCTGCAACCATAGCAACCCAGAAATACTGAGGTAGCCGCTGCTCAAAGCGTAAGGAAGAAGTATTTTCCCCAAATCAAGGAAACATTCCTCTCCTGACACTAAAGCATCTATACAGTTCTCTCCACTCCAAAATTTCCATTGCAAAAAAACAAAAAGAAGCAAACAAAACCCCCTGTTCTGTTTGTTTCTGCAAGACCAAACCACAACCCCATCTGACGAGAGAGAACACGGTGTCAAGTTAGCATAAACTCTTATTAAGCAATCAAATGCAATGTGTGTGGAAGGTGCCAGAAGATCTCAAGACATTTTTATAAACATAAATGAATTAAGCAATGACCTTATGAACTCACAGAGCATTATTTGCATTTCAAGAGGAAAGGAAACCAAGACACAGAAATCAGGGAGCAGAGCCAGAAACAGAACTGATTATCCAGTTCCACATTAAAGTCACTTACAAATCTTAATATATTTTAGCATGGATACACTTTTTTCCTCCTCGCATATCTTTTGATAAGAAGCAGCTGCAAAGAATTGCTTAAGACTTCTAGGGGCACAGGGAGCTTGTCTTTTGGGAAAGACGCCACATAAGACAGAAAATCAAACCGCGTAAAGCCTCCCTGAAGCACAGCCTTTGAATTTTATGTTGACTGACTCACAATCCACAATTTTCCTTAATACACCAGCTTGTGTTAGTGTGCTCATCCGTGAACAGCTCACCTTTGCCACACCCTGAATGCGAGACAGCACGGCACTGTTTACTTTTCTAAGGTTTCATCTATTCTGAAGCAAAAATTGCACTGTTACCATCCCCCTTGGTTTAGTTACAAGCGTTTCAGGTATCACACAAACCCATAATAGGATCAAGCTCTTTCAGAAAGATGCTATTCCAGGCCTACAGCGCAGAAAGAAGGTGCCATCGATGACCCCAACTATCTAACCATGCCTGAGGGCAGGCAGCCAGCCTGGACTCTCTTCCTACTGAATGGAGGCGAATGGGAATGCTCAGAGATCTGGGTCCTACCTTTAGAGTCTTCACAGCCACTGTGAGGTTGTACTTCTTCCAGACTCCTTCATACACCTCTCCATACTGCCCTCCACCGAGCTTGTGTTTCATCGTGATGTCAGTTCGCTCTATCTCCCACTTGTCGTAGTTGGGGGACACACCGTAAATCGTGGGCTTATTGCGTTTGGGCGCCGGGTAGTGCAGCGTGGTGATGAGCCCATCTGCGACAGTTGAATGATGATGGACCAACTCTGCTAAGGTGTTGAAGCGGCTCTCTGAAGAGACATACAGCTAGGGACCAAAGAGGAAGAGAAAGCTCATTCACATAATGCACGTCTGAGCACTCATACGCAGAAACTACATTATAAAACTGCGAAAGCAAAGGGTTACATCCCTTCTACTCGATCTGCAGTACTGTCAGCTTCACCAGCTCTGTAACTAGTTCTCAGAAGCTCAGACCCGAGAAATGCATTGATTTGGGAGAAAACACATGCACTTCACTTCAACTATGGAAGGAATGACTGCAAATAGCATTAGATTGGCATGCTGTTGCTTGAAATGTCTTTTTTTCAAAAGGCTGATCAGTAAAGATTGTGGGACATTTCCTGGAGAGCAGGGGGTTGTCAACCTCCGTGTCTTGATTCCATTGTTACTACCGGGGTTCTGACATTCTCACCTGCCTACATCCTCCTTGAAGTGTCACTAGCAAACAGGTGGCTTCCCTGCTTTTGGCCTAAGCTTCTGCACAGTATTCTGCACGAAGTTAGGCAGCTGGTCTGCTCCAGTCTCGTGACGGGCACTGATCAATATCACAGAAGTAAAATCATTACCACCGGATGAAAACCTGCTGTGAGGCGCGATAACCCGTATGCATTGCCATTCTAACATTTATGCAGAAGGTCCATTTTAAGCCTAAAAGCCTACTAAAGATAACAGCCAAGTGACTCCCTACCACCAGAGCCTTGTATTTCCAGTTTTCACCCTTAAGCCCAGCCTTCTGCTAGGCAAGCTGACAAAACCTAGAAATTTAATTTTTAAAAAAAGTGATGCTGATAACACCTGAAGGAGGAGGGAGAAATATTTGTATTAAAGTACAACAGTCTATGCTGGATGCAGCACGCAGAAGATGGAAGAGCTCCATTTCTCACAAAGGACCAAGGTCTGGCACGGGACAGCCTTGCAGGAAGAGCAGCACCGTGTTAGCCACCCAGATTTCTGCCCAGTCCATGCACTAGGAAATGAGTGTGATGCACTGGTCCGGCTGTGCACATTACATGCCAACAGCTACGATCAAACTTCCCAAATGCTTCTGACTCGCTGGATATGCACGCAACAGCTTTTGCATGTGCACTGGCCATCTGTCTGGGATTTTAGGAGGCCGGGAAGTCAATGGGGCTGCCATGCATACAAAAATCCCAGACTTTGGGTCAAATTCTGCTTCTTCCACCTTGCCAGAATTTTTGGACAGAAAAAGAAAATACACCTGTGAAGCTCCAGCAATAAGCGACTACGTCCAACAGAAAAGAGAGATGCATTTGCAAAATAAAAACCCCAAATGTTTGAAGGGAGGGACAAAACCACCCTCAAACTTGAGTAAAGCGTTTGTACTGGAGACTGGCAATTCCTATATGGATGCTCCGCCTTTGCAGGCATCTGTTTACTACACAAACCCAACACAAGAACGAGAGGCATTGGAGAAGACCAAACACTCTGAAGCATATGAGATCATAGGCACTACATATAAGAAAAGGTGAGTGAAAAGAGCAGCCACATCATCCAAGGAAGTCAGAGCGACAGACAAAAGTGCCTCTCCCCCTCAGCATCCTGCTTGCCCAAATCCCCCCTTAAGAACATAACCCACGTGCTCAATCTATGTACGGTAACTATTATGGCCAGAATTGGCAAAACCCACCCATCTACGTACGTCATGGACTTATTTGAAAGAGCTGTGGAAAGGTAAAATGCTCAGTGCAGGTACACAGTGTAACCCAGAAAGGGGAAAACACACATAGACGTGAACGAGCCCACAGACCAGTCACACACAGGTGGGACTACTGCAAGCAGGGTGGCCGCTGGCTTTCAAATTACGGCCTTTGTAACAGAACCATGCTCCCCGACAGGTTTCTGGGAAGTGAACATGATGTAGCATTTGTCATCCAAAAAAGGCAACTACTCTGTAGAAACCTACCTTTCCAGTGTTGGGAAATCATAACCCCTGGTTAAAATGGCATTTCCTCTAGTGGCAATAGCACCTGGGCTTGGGGGAGCGGGAGAAGATACACAGTGGCCAACCTGTCTGTAAGCCACCTGAGCTAAACCCACACCATTAACTACCCTGCTGACAACACATACACTTTGCAAGGGCATTCCGAGTGGAGGGTTTTACACCCTGGGCTGGAGAAATCTACTTTCCCTTCACTCTTGTTTTTCTTTTGCTACAGCTGCTGACAAAAACACTCCTGTGGAAACTTTATCTCTAGAAAATAAAGGCATCCTCTTGGGGAGCATGTTCTCAACCCTCTACTAATATGAGTTGGATATTCTCTTGGTGAAGTAACTGGACCAAATCTCATTTCAACACTATGATTAAAAAACACCAAACAAAACCAAACTATCTTTCATGGTCAAAAAGGCGAAATCACCCTAAAAAAAGATTTTCTGAGAACAGAAAAATGACAACATAAGAGAGGCTTTTACAGCCACACAGCTTGGACCACGAAGCATTAGCCAGTACAACCACAGTTTAAAACAAGCCACACCTGTTTGGGAACAACTTGTACTACTAGCAGTGGTACGAGCAGTTCACACGTTACACTGAGGACTAGAAGTATGGATGTAGACAATTATGCTCAACTCCAGGATCACTTGGAACTTTACAGAAGTATGGAGAAGGAAGCTGCTCATGCTTTGATGATGGCTCATATCTCACGATCCCAACATCTCATGGAAATCAGAGATATCTCTACTTTGTGGGACAGATCATATGATCTTGTTACAGATGGAGAAAGAAGTTAAACAAATGGCCAAAGGTTTCACAGCAAACCTGTAGCAGGATGGGGAACAGAACTCAGGATCACGCTGTCCAGCCCACAGCACAACACTCCATGCCTTAACACACACGAAGTTTTCCACTTACATTTAAAAAAACCCCAAACAATGCATCCACCCACTAAAAGTGCTTATTCTGTAGGCAGGGTTTTTCTAACCTCTCACTGACTCCAACTCAACAGTGACTCCTGAAGGCCTTACTTCAGATCAGCACTACTGGAAATCAAAGTTATGCTGTGTTTAAACCTCTACCTGGAATTTGAAGCACGTACCACAAGAAGATGAAGCAAGGAGCAGCTACGGACGGCATGCTGCCGCTGCAGCCCTGGGAGCCGCGCACACACTCTGACTGTTCACCTCCCTTCGCCGCCAACCCCGATAACCAAACCTTAACTCAAGCTGCTGGCTGGATAATTTCCCCCAAGAAAACCGCCTGGTGCTGCTAACTGTACTCATACAGAGGTAACAGACTCCACGTTTCTGCAGCACGCGAGGTCATGTAGGGGCTCAGAGAGTTTCCTTCCCAGCTACGCTGCTGACACATTATTGGGGCAATTTGTGTACGTTGTCAGTCACACCATAACACCGGTCCTGTTCCAAGCAGCTCTGCTTGTACGAGTTAGCCAGACATCTGCAGCTTCTGCCACCAGACCATATCTCTTTTTCCTGGCTAGTATATTTTATAAGGGTGGTTAAACTGGCCCATGCTAACCTCCAACCCATCCTTGACCTGATGGGATTCCCCCTCCCCAGCCAGCAGACAAAACTGAACATCCACCAAAAAAATCCATCGAGATCCATGATAAAGGAGTGAGTCTGCATCCAGTTCAGCCACTGGAGGCTCCAAGAAACTCAAGCAGGACCCGTGTCCTTAATGCTGAAGACAGCAGGATTTGAAGAACTGGCTGGATAACGCTGTTTATTCAGTTGGGTTACTCAACAGGAGGCTTTGACTCAAGTACTATCAAGTCAGGAAAACCAAGTCCTCTGTACCACGGAAGTGGTTTACCAGATGGCTGACTGCACTGTGCCAGCCAAATCAAGAAAGGTCACTTTTAATGCCTGCCTTAAAAAAAAAAACAACAACCAAACCCCAAACAAAAAAACCAACAAAACATTCAGAGGTGGTCCGGAAGACTATAACCCATTAAACTGGGAAATAAAGAAAAAAATTCCCTGAGGAACTTATCGGTGAAGTTGTTAAACCCCAAAGCATTCAGTATGAACAGTGCTAAAATTAAGACAATTAACGTCTCTGATCTTCTTCCTAGACCCTTCACTTTTCCCCAGGAAAAAGCCTGGGTAAGGCTGTGCGATGCATGGCACACCTCTGCACCGAGCAGCAGTTGTTCTGCACATTTCTCTAACACCCCCTTCTCCTGATACCGCGTTCTCCCGGGCACAGGATGTGGTCCCACCAAAGCCATTCATCCTTACTGCAGCACTGGCAGATACTAAATTCCCTGGACAGGCTGACTAACGATACAGCAGGCTGGGAAGGCCCCAGGTGCTCAGGGAGTTGAAGGTAAGAGCTTTCCATTGGGATAGTCATGCTCTGCTGTGAAGCGGCTAATAGAGTGTGACATGAGCAGCTCAGAGCGGGGAACCTGCTCCAGCGGAGGGAAAAGTAGGGAAATTAGCTGTTTCTTTTCCTAGCTCCTCAGCTTTTACAGCTGGGGACAGGGTGCTGGAAGAGCACAGCGTCCCCCAGCCCAGCAGCAGAGTGAGCAGCATGCCCTCTGCTGAGCAGCAATTCACTGCCCAGCTCATGAACCCAAACTGAAACCGATGTGGTTTAATGCACCAGGCTGCAAACTGCAGCACCCGATGCATGGACTGGAAACCACCCCTTCTGCAGCGATGCTGGTCCTTGGCATGACAGCGAGGGACTGTGGCTACCTCTTCACTTGCCCCTGCACAGACCGTGAAAGCCCAGGAGCCGCAGCTCTCGGTCACTGCCACTTCTTGATTTTGTACTGACAACCACCATCGGCTGCAGTTCTGCTTTAGTGAATTGTGCTGACCTGCACCTTTTCTCAAAAACACTGATTCAAGCAACTTCGTGGAAAATGAACAGTTAACCTGGCTAATACAGACCTGAACGGATTATTGTTGCTCTGCAGAACTGCTTTTTTGGGATAAAAACAGCTCTGCTGGGATGAAAGCCTCCATATGCCAAACCCTTTTACAGCTAAAATGGAGAACGTGTGCTATCGCATCATGGACACGTGCTTATCTACACCAACTGAAGGGGGCCTGGGTTCAAAATGTTCACATGTGAACATTGCTCATCTGCCAGCACCAATGTGAATAGAAGGAACATCAACCACAGAGACAGGAGGAGGAATAATATTCCAGACTGCCATGTATGGTGCACGCCAGCATTTCACAGTGCCAATTTCGACCACAGAGCGTGCCTACATGGGAGGAAAAAGGAAGAATCAAAGCACCATAACTTGGAAATACATGGCCTTAAATAACATGGTTAGAATTGCCTCAATTACCATCTGTTTGCTAAAGCAGACAAAACATACTTCATTAGTGAATAAAATCTGTTTATCTTATTAAAGGTTTTGGAGTGATGAGTCTGATCAATGGGAAACACTATGTACTGGTTCCCTGTGTTTTCATATTAAAGATTTTGCTGTCACACTCCTGTAAGAAGAATAAAGCTCTTGCAGGACAAATGAAAATTGGCCGTGGTGGGCCACTACTATACTTGATTTTTTTTTTTTTCTTTTAAAGTACTTCAATGGCACAGAATCTGTCATCTACTAGATGTTGGCAAGAAGAGCCTCAGCAGCCATGCTCCAGACCCACACTTTAACTTCTGCACAGGATCTAAAGAGACACTGCTTAAAATAGATTCGTTAAACAACAAGATTTTCCGAAATCCAATGCCAGTAGAAATGTTTCCATGAAATTCAAACAAAAATCCGTGGAAAACTACACTTTTATGCTAACATTTCTCTGCAGCATCCACAAAGCACGGCATTGGAACACTGCTACAGCACACAACGATCTAGGAAAAAAACAAAAAACAAAAAAAACCAAAAAACGAAGAAACTAGGGACAGGGCCCATATAAAAGTGAAAGTGCCTACCCGTCTCCAATGATCACGCTGAAATACTGTAGAGAAATCAAAACAGTAGTTAAAAATACTACAGAATAGCTCAAAAAGCATTCTGTCCCTAATATTTACAGAATTATTAGCAATGGGTGCTGACTTTTCCGATTTGGCAGTCAAAGAGATTATCTGTTGAACATACAGGACGAGAATTTATCCCCAGAATCTCTTGTTAATGGTACCTATTACATCCAGCTCTGATGTAACTCCAGGATCTCCTACCTTAAACTGTTTCACTACTGAGCTGTATTATACCTCACTGAAAGGTTGCTAAAGGAGTAAAACCATTTTCTCACAGCCATGTCAGAATCTCACGGCTTATTGTCACTACAGGTGATGTGATCAGGGGTCAGAACTGCTCAATTCCATTGCTACGACGTGACCCCGTGCAGCCAGCGGACAGTGAGGACAGCCCATAGCCTACCTTTCCGTCAGACGCAGTGTTTATTCTGTAGTGGTACACCCTTCCTTCGTATCGCAGTGAAATAGATCTCTGTCCTGGACTGCTCTCGCTCTCTCGCACAAGAAAGCTGCCGTTGATACCGCTACTCAGAAGGTACTCAGCAGCGTTACGGGATACTGGTCCGTGATACCAGGAATGCTTCTCCAAACTATTCACTGGGGTGATGTAGTTGCTGGGTACCCAGCCTTGTCCATTCTTCGTCTGGGCCTCGCACCATTCCCCATTGTGATTGTAGCCCAGGACTCGGAGCTTTTCACCTTAGTGCAAGAAGAAAATACACTTAGACACGGCAAACATGGAAGGTGACTGGCTAGCAGATCATTAAATCATCTCCTACAAGAATAGGTATGTGACTGAGCAGGGAGCATGTGTGTTTCTTTAAGCTTGAGTGGACACCTCAAAGCCAAATAAAGTCACATGCCTGCTTCAGGAGTTTGTTACGCTCTCGTGCAGTTCTGCATCAGCTCTGATACTGCTTGAGCTTAAAACAAAACAAAAAAAAAATGAACCCAGCAAATTTTATTTGAACTGAGTTGGCTTGATGGGGCTAGGAGAGAACAGGAGTGGATAAACAGTAAAAAAAATAATTTCAATTAGCAAGGTAAGCAGATGTGACTTGGAGCACACACAAGGAACAGAAGGACTCAGTAAGAAAACACTGTATCTGTACAGTCATTTTTCATACAGGGTCTGTGTTTTGGAGAGTTACGAAAATGACAAAAGCCAGCCTCTAAAATCAGCTTAGTTTAATTTCTCTGTTCAAATTCTTGCTCCTAGTGGAGACCTTAGTTTTGGCAAACGGTTTCTTGCCCAGTGCAAAAACTTCAGACAGTTTTAACCTTTTAAAAGGTTATGACTTTGCGAAATACTCATATTTGTTTAAGAAGAATTCCCACAGTAAAAAAAATTCCATAGGGTTTAGTGTATAACTCAGCTATTCCATAACGACTTTTCTTTCTACGCCTTCTCACACACTCCCAGTACCATTCTGCCCAGCTACCTTACCTTTAGTTATGCTGAGAGTGTTGTCCCCACTCGCCACAAAATCATACAGTGCAACAAAGAGATGGGGGTCATTTTCACTAGGACAGGACAGAAGGTTTTCCTTGGAGTTCCAGCGAGCTGCTTCACTCAGACCCTGGGGCTCAAAGTCTGACACTACCGGTCTCTGAAGGGCTTCTGGAGGAAGAAAAGAGAGAGAGAGAGAGAGGAAAAAGCAGGTTCATTTTTGCTGATAAAAGCCATCTGGTTAACCCACGCACTCTGATTTTCTACTTCGCATTGTTTCTTGACATGTGTGCCCCTCATGTGTCAGAGGACAGATATGGACAGTTCCTAAATGCAGATCTCCTGCCACAGAGGCAGGACACCCTTATTCCAGAGCTGTTCCCCAGCCTGCCCCGAGCCCCCAGCTCCAGCCTCCCACAGCACACAGGACAGGGAAAGCCCCTCTTTCTCCCTCCCTCCCTCCAGTAAATGCTGCTCACATCGGCTGTTTGCTGCTTGTAAATCCTTTGGCTCATGCCTAACTGCTGGAATGGTTATATTTGAAAACAAACCCAAGACCTTTAAAAGATAAATCCCTTAATTATCCTATAAATTAAATCACCAGAACATGCAGCACAGAGCGCCAGGCAAGGCAAGATTAATAAGACATGGTATTTAAGAATGATACACATACTTCTTTTCTTCACAGTATTTTTAATCATTTTTCTTCTTATTTGAGTACAAGGCTGTGCCTTTTTCGTTGCTCTCTCTCCTGCCTGCCACTCTTGAAACCAGAGCGCAGCAGCGAGCATACTTCACACAATGAACTTTCTACATTTTTAGGTAGGAACCCTGAGACACCTCCAGAAAAAGAGATTTCTAGTAACTGAGCTTCACGGGTGAGCAAAAACCAACCGCCAAAGTTTTCTATACACTGCGGCAGGGTAATATTCAGTAAGTATCAGGCAAGTCCAAGCACATCAAGGAATTCTACTGCAGTCGTTCCTGGAAACGCTCCCCTCCAGACCATGATTCAAGAGTTTGGGGCAGTGATGCTCCAGGTAGTTGCGTCCCCTCGGTCCAACATGCCACCCCCCAGCTGTGCTGGCAGCCCCACAGGTGACTGTGCTGGCACAAACCCAGGAAAAGAAGTTGTGAAAATCTTAGTTTTTGAAGGGTTATTGTCCATCTGGATGAGGTCATTGAGCGAGGTCACAGCACCGCACACAAACCATCGTGCCAGCGCAGATACGGGGACAGGAAACGCTGCACTATCGCCCCCTGCACCGCGAAATTGCTCTTCAACACTCAGCATCAGTCCCTGCCTGCTCCCCCCACTCCCTGCTGAATCCTTCTTCTGCACAGGCGAATGCAGCAGGTCTTTGGAGGGAGAAATCCCAGGCCAAGTGTCTTCTACATTATCAGCTCACCTAGAAGCACAGTTCTCTCTATACCTATAATACTCACTAGCAAGGGGCTGCTATGTAGATGCAAACACACCAAAACACGCCTTTAAAACTATCGCTTGTTTGGTCTGGAAATGGAGTACAAGCTGCACCAGTAAACCAGTGAAGAACTGACACAATTGACACCAGAAAACGTAGAGAAGCGCAGGCTGGGACAGGTCTAAAATAACTTTCCCCAACAGGGAAATGCTAAAATAAAAAAAAAACACCCAAACCCCAAGCCTACAAACAGTAACAAATCCCATTATTTCCTAAGCTTTGGTTGTGACAGTGCAACTATCGACCCACAGACACTCCAGTGTCCTCGATGTGTTGGTCCGATCACCACTGGTAAAGGCTCTCTGGGTGATTATTTATAAACAAGAACACTGCTGTATTCTTTGGAAAAGGTAATATCATATATGTGGTCAGAGAGCAAACCAGCAAGTATACACGTTGTTAGGCCCATTTTCCTAGCCAAACATATCTGCAGGGAGATATATTTTTATAGTGAATCAGAGAAGCCAAATAATTCTGCTTTGTAAACGGTTCCACAGTCAGAAAAGGTGGTGGTGTGTGGGGTGGTTTTTTAAAGCACCTTGACATCCTTGCTTCCCCCTCCTGCTTCCTGCAGAAGAACACCTTTTAATAGCCTGGGTTTGCTTCAAAAGGGACAACGAGAAAAGAAACAGAAAATCCACTTTCAGAAAATTAAGCTATAATCATTTTACCATGAAAACGCTTTGATCCTGTCAAGCCCATTAAGCTCCCTTATCAAACACAGGGCACTGCAGTGACTGGAGATACTCCAAGGAGTTACACCATCAGTAAACACCTGGAACAGACAGACAGCAGAGAGCTGCGAGTAGCAGACACACAACTTCAGCGAGGAGCGACGCCGTGACGCTCTCCCCCAAATACGGCACAAACCAGTACACGCTGCACGGTGGGATGGACCGCAACCTCCGTTAGGAAGGAAAATGCCTCCCCCACGGGGGCCTGATTCGACAGGAAGGCAGGAAATCCAAGGCAGGCTCCACTCCAACTCCAGCGCGATCGCAGCCCAGCGAGGGATGGCTCATGCACGGCTACGGATGGGGATGCAGGAGGGAAGCCAAGCGCTCCGCAAGAATCCCTCCCTCGTGCCCAGGCCGCGGTGATGCTGGGACTGACTCATTACACACGAATGCCAAGGTATGCGCTTGGATTCAGACCCTGAGACAACACTGTGTCGAACACTGAAAACACCCACAAGCTGCGGTGTGAGAGTCAAGGAAGGCTGGTTCTGCTCGATGACGTTCCTACAAACACCGACTCAGTGATAACTGTCTGCAAACCCAAGGATCGGCAAGAGCAAGAGCTGTTAAATAAACATATGAAAATTTGTCAAGCTGGAAAACCACACCAGTCCCCCCTTGAGTACATAGGATGCTACGCACAGATGGGCTTGTGTCCTCTGTATCCTCCAAGTCGACCCCCCCGCTCAACCACCGGCACCCCAACAGAGGTGCGCGCTGTGTGTGAAGGCCGCTGTGATGGAGAGCACGGCGGGGATGGGCAAGACCCAACTCTTGGGTCGGGTTAGGGCTGGCGTTTCCAGAAGGCAGGAACCCCAAGTTACGAACTGAGGTGGGGAAGGCGGTGACCGAATGAAGGGCAGTAAGAAAGGGAGGAGGAGGCCCTGAGTCAACACGGAGAAGAGCGTAAAGGAAAGAGCAGAGCTGTGGTGACCCGCGTGTAGCAGAAGCTTGATAGACCGTGACAAAACACACTTTTAAAGGTCTGGGCCCCAAGAGGAGACTGTCGGCAGACTCGGGAAACAAAACCATGAAGCGAGAGAAGCAGACAGGACATGTCCATCTGGGAGCCACGTACAGCCGTCTGTCAGCAGTATTTATCCCTCTGAGCTGTTCTCTAGTAAATTTGCCCAGACATCACAGTCCTTCAGAGCGGGACTTTGCTGTTCACATGTATTGAGGGTCTTTTTCAACACACTACAGCTTCTTCACCTCCTACTGCTGGTTTTAACTACAATTTTACAGCACTGCTGAGCTCTTCAATGGGCCTAATTCCTCCTAATAAATCAGCCTGGCTGCTATATCTACAGGAGGGTACCCTGGCACGGCGATGGGGCAGGAAGCGAGTGTAATTCAATCTGTTATCTCTGCGCTGTGATCCCTTCCACGCACCCACTTTGTCTTCTGCTGCATCCCAGCAAGACTGTAATTTATTACTTTGATCACAGCAAGCTCCGGATGACACCTGGATTCCTGGGAGGAGTCCTAAGGCAATGCTGTAATTCAGTTTTCCACTAACACCAACTAAATGACAACTCTTAATTAAACCGGAGCAGACTTCGAAATAAGACACAGCAGCTTTTATTTTGAGGCATTAGCCATAAGAATGTCTTCACCGCTTCCCTATATTAAGTTTTTACCAGGAGATATTTATGTTTGCACACTAAAAGGTTTCATAAGTGTAACAATCTCCTGCTAATTACTGTTTCTACGAAGTCATGAATCATTGTTAGGGACTGCGTAAGAAGTTCTCAGATATGAACAATTCTGATCTAGACCAACGCAAGCAAATTTCCTTAGTAATTTAAGAGAAGGGCTGGAAAACAGACAGAAGCACAGAATTACACTCAGCTCCTCCAGAGTCCCGCGGGAAGGAAGAGACCTCCTGTCTCCCTGCAAAACAAACATCCTGTGGTCTTACAAACTGTGCTGGCATTTTTTCCACGAGGTTTCTAGAGCAAGGGAGTGCAGAACACATCTAGTAGTCTCTTTGGAGGTACAGCACATGCTGTCTAAAGCTTCTCCTTTCCCTGCCTTCCCCCTACTCTCCTTTTCCCCTGGAAGAAATTACGATAAATGGCAGAAGAGCTATGAAGATCTAATACATCTAAATGTTCCTGACACTGAGCCCGTATGATGGAGCAGCTGCCCCTCTGTCCCGTATTTCCTTCGTGGCCCTCATGGATTCCCTATGCCTGATGGAATATGGATTTTAAAAAACAAATAATAAAAATCTGTAAACCAGATCTTTCCAAAAAGAAGGAAGGTTTCGTGTTTTATTTTGGACTCATCCCTTTAGTGAGATCATGCTCAGCCTCTCCTGTCACTCACTCCATCACACAGGCCATACAACCTTCTGCAACAAAGGCTATTGCTGTCGCTTCTGCTCTTGGCTGGTATGTGGAGAGTCCACGTTCTTACAGCCAGCACGAGAACAAATGATCACTTTTTAAATACTGTGTATTTCTATACAGAGATGAAGAAGTGCAAAACCAGATGCAGCCTCCTCTCAACCAGACCCACTCCCCCTGTGCTGGGCCAGTCTTCCCCGCTGTGCTGCCCTATTTCCAGGCACCTTCATCCCGCAGGCAGGCTGCGCTCCTCCTCGCAGCCACCAGCAACCTCCAGCACTTTAAACACCGAAAACCAAGTCTCCTGAATGCAAACACGAGGGAACCAGGCTGCTCATGGCTCCTGCTGCACTGCCCATGTGCAAACAGGCTCTCTCAGTCAACTGTAGTGTTTTATCTTGTCTAACACTAAGCTTCTCCCACTCCTCCAAGATACGGCTTTTCCCACTTTTTTGTCCCACAGTTGTCTGTCACCTTGGGGTTTTTGTTGTTGGTTGGTTTAGTTGTGGTTTATTTGTGTTGTTTTGGGTTTTTTTTTTGTTTTGTTTTTGGGTTTTTTTAAAGTTCACTCTTACATTAGCTTGCAGGTTCCACGTGAG